AAAATGATCATCATCGGTCGGCTGCAGCGCAGTCGATCACAAGTCCATTCCACGACCGTCGGTCAGCAGCCAGCGCAGCAATTTTGTCAGAGCTCAGGTCACCTTCCGTATCCCCCAACATGTTCTGGATGTAAGTCAGATGGCTCGTCCTCTGGCGTCCGGGACTCCTTCTGCCGCGGGGTGGGACGTAGAGGGCGTAAGACCTAGTGGCTCCTCTACGGGCATCATAAGGGCATGTCCAATGAAGCGCAGTTGCCGCTGCCTCACTTTGATGATCAGAGGCTGTGTGTTTGTGGCTTTGTATATTTCACAGTTGCTTACACGGTCTATACGTTTGATGTTCAACATGATCCCCTGAGGCAAGATGTAGCAAATGAGTTTATCTTGTCCTCCATGTCGCGCGATAGGACCCAGGTATCGCAACCATACAGGGGCACCGACACACAGGTGACATTGAAGAGCTTGATCTTAGAGGCTATGGGGAACGTTGGGTTTCTCAAGATCTTTTGAAGTTTCCAGAAAGTAGTCTAGGCGAGCGCTTTTCGCCTGGCCAGGTCGTTCTTACTGGATGCCAGCATTGATCCTAAATACCTAAAGTCTGTTACATCTTTGATGGGCTGACCATACACTTGCAGTGGCGGCTGTGGATTGCAATTGATGGTCATGCATTCGGTATTCATCTATTGAAAATGATATTGTCAGGCGTTTCAGGGCCAGAGGAATGTAGCCCTAATCCGTGTGCAAATGGTGGGACTTGCGAGGACGAGGTCGACGGCTACGCCTGTTCCTGTGCTCCTGGCTATGAAGGAGATCATTGTGAAACAGGCAAGTTTTTTCTGTTATAACTGCATTATCATACCAGAATATTATTGACGGAGTTATTCAGGTCAAAATATGTGCAGCCATTAAGTACTTAAGATAACAGAAGCATAACACTTATTATCGTTTATACCTATAATTCTGCAGGTAAAATTTGATGCTTTTCCGTATACCATTGAAAATGATATTGTGAGGCGATTTAGAGCGTTTGACATTTAAACGTGGGATTTCACATGAAGCATTTTTTTGTGTGTCGTTTCAGACACAGACGAATGTAGCTCTAATCCGTGTGCAAATGGTGCGACTTCCGAGGAAGAGGTCGACGGCTACACCTGTACCTGTGCTCCTGGCTATGAAGGAGATCATTGTGAAACAGGCAAGTTTTTTCTGTTATAACTGCATTATCATACCAGAATATGATTGACGGAGTTATTCAGGTTAAAATATGTGCAGCCATTAAGTACTTAAGATAACACAAGCATAACACGTATTATCGTTTATACCTATAATTTTGCAGGTAAAATTTGATGCTTTTCCGTATACCATTGAAAATGATATTGTGCGGCGATTTAGAACCTTTGACATTTAAACGTGGGATTTCACATGGAGCATTTTTTGTGTGTCGTTTCAGAGACAGACGAATGTAGCTCTAATCCGTGTGCAAATGGTGCGACTTGCGAGAACGAGGTCGACGGCTACAACATGTACCTGTGCTCCTGGCTATGAAGGAGATCAGTGTGAAACCGGTAAGTTTTTCCATTATAAATGTCTTACCATACCGGAATATGATTGACGGAGTTATTCAGGTTAAAATATGTGCAGCCATTAAGTACTTAAGATAACACAAGCATAACACGTATTATCGTTTATACCTATAATTTTGCAGGTAAAATTTGATGCTTTTCCGTATACCATTGAAAATGATATTGTGAGGCGATTTAGAACCTTTGACATTTAAACGTGGGATTTCACATGAAGCATTTTTTTGTTTGTCGTTTCAGAGACAGACGAATGTAGCTCTAATCCGTGTGCAAATGGTGCGACTTGCGAGGACGAGGTCGACGGCTACACCTGTACCTGTGCTCCTGGCTATGAAGGAGATCAGTGTGAAACAGGTAAGTTTTTCCATTATAAATGTCTTACCATACCGGAATATGATTGACGGAGTTATTCAGGTTAAAATATGTGCAGCTATTAAGTACTTGAGTACTTCAGAAGCATAACACTTTAGGTTGCTATTATTATCGTTTATACGTATAATTTTGCAGGCAGAATTTGATGCTTTTCCGTATACCATTGAAAATGACAGTGTGCGGCGATTTAGAGCCTTTGATCAATTGGCATTTAAACGTGGGATTTCACGATCACATGGAGCATTTTTTGTGTGTCGTTTCAGAGACAGACGAATGTAGCTCTAATCCGTGTGCAAATGGTGCGACTTGCGAGGACGAGGTTGGCGGCTACACCTGTACCTGTGCTCCTGGCTATGAAGGAGATCATTGTGAAACGGGCAAGTTTTTCCATTATAACTGTCTTACCATACCGGAATATGATTGACGGAGTTATTCAGGTCAAAATACGTACAGCCATTAAGTACTTAAGACAACAGAAGCATATCACTTATTATCGTTTATACCTATAATTTTGCAGGTAAAATTTGATGCTTTTCCGTTTACCATTGAAAATGATATTGTGAGGCGATTTAGAACCCTTGACATTTAAACGTGGGATTTCCCATGGAGCATTTTTTGTGTGTCGTTTCAGAGACAGACGAATGTAGCTCTAATCCGTGTGCAAATGGTGCGACTTGCGAGGACGAGGTCGACGGCTACACCTGTACCTGTGCTCCTGGCTATGAAGGAGATCAGTGTGAAACAGGCAAGTTTTTCCATTATAACTGTCTTACCATACCGGAATATGATTGACGGAGTTAGTAGTATTCAGGTTAAAATATGTGCAGCCATTAAGTACTTAAGACAACAGAAGCATAACACTTTAGGTTGCGATTATTACCTTCGCCACGAAGGTCATGCTTTCAGAGGCGTTCGTGTGTGTGTGTGTGTGTCTGTGAACACGATAACTCGAGAAGGCTTGAATGGATTGTCTTTATTACTTGGTAGGTGGGTAGGTCTTGATGAGACCTAGAAATGATTAGATTTTCGGCCCCCTGGTGGCTTGTTGTGGTACTGCAGCGGTACTTCCGGTTTTGATATCTCATGATTTGGACTAGCCTGGGAAGCGAGTGTGGGAGCCCCGGCATACAAGTAGGATGGTACCCAGGCTAGATTTGGACATGCTAGTGTCACGAAATTTGGATGGTAGGTAGCTCTTGGGCTGGGGAAGAAGTGACGTAGGTTTGGCCCTCCTAGCTGCTTGCTCTAGAACTGCAGGGGCGTTTCTTTAAAAGTATTCAAAAGAGGATAACTCAAGAACCGGTTGACGGATCGTCGTGATTTTTTATATAAGTTTTCCCATTATAAATGTCTTATCATATCAGAATATGATTGACGGAGTTATTCAGGTTAGAATATGTGCAGCCATTAAGTACTTAAGACAACAGAAGCATGGCAATTTAGGTTGCGATTATTATACCTATAATTTTGCAGGATGAATTGTTCTTAACACAGAGGGTGGGGGTGAAGGTGGGAATGAACAACATGTGCTATAATTACTGCGCATGCTGAACCCACCAACGGGCTATCCTACAGTTTACCAAATATGCAGTTCCAAACCAATACATCGTTAGTTGTATGTTTGTCTGAACTCATCAATAAACGTTTTTTCTATAGAGGTGACAGCCACAACCCAGGCAACGACAACCGGTAAGTGAAAGAAGCTCACTTTCTGGCCAAGTCCTCAAATACAGAGAAATGAACGATTTCTTTTCACCATTTGAGAACTTGATTGACCCTGAGCGGGGGTCTTTACTGTATAATTCAGATGACATAAGCAGCTGGGTTAAGGAAAAAGAGTTGTTAACGTATGAAGGTACGTCTGGACACCTTCTATTGTCACTTCTGGACCCACCTGCTACACGCAAAGACACAATATAAATTCAATTCATATCTTTATTAACAGAATAACCTTGCAACAATGTCATACTCGTACATTCAAATGTATCCTAAGTAACCACAGTGAACAACACTAAACTGATCCATTATTGATGAATATAAAGCAGCCTGAATGGATAGGCATTTTAAACAGCTGTATTATATATTATATTATTTTATTTTAATCTATTTTTTTGCGTGTTCTACGGAGGAGAAAATCACTGAATTATCTGAATAAATCAATAACATTTTTTTTTGTTTTCTCCAGAGCCGACAACCCAAGCAACAACAACCGGTAAGTGAAAAGCTACCTTCTGGCCATAACCGGAATACTGGCAGAGTAATTATAGTCCCGGGTGATTCTACAGTATGACATGTGCATCAAACGTAATACATCAGATGTATTGCTGAACTAATGTTTGTCAGATGTTTGATTGTTTGAATGAATCTACTTTTTGTTTTCTACAGGGGAGGCAACTACAACTCAGGCAACGACAACCGGTAAGTGAAAACAAGCTACTTTCTGACCATGTTTCCAAATATAGAGCAATTCTACAGTATGACAGTCGATGAAATGTACGGGTCTAAACTGATATATTTTACGTTTTATCTAGAGACGACAACCCTAAGTTTTCTGTCCACAAACATAAACCTCAAAATACACAACTCTCTGCAACAACGTAGGGACTTCGTAGGATAACCATTTTTGACATTGAACTTTGTTTCTATAACCACTGCACACCTGCCTGATATGATTAAGATCCATTCACAGATTTTATCTTTTACATAGGCTGCATACATACAATTAACCTATGCACAATAAGCCCGCCACAAGTATATTGCGAAAAGCCAGGTGGACCGTTTTCTACATTTTCAAAACGGCTACTCACACAAAAAATATATACATGTATAAAAAAAACCCGCCGACAAATAATTGAGATGTACATGTAATGTTGACCTACATATGGACCCAAACCACGACCAAAGAGATTTCATACTCTTCTGAAGAAGACAGTTGCAATGATAGTGATATATTCATATTGTTCTGTAATATCCTACAGTGTTCCCAACAATTGAGCCGTGCAACATGACTCCAGACCTGTTTTTGTTCTGGACGGATCTGGCAGTGTGAGCGATGCGGACTTCGATAAAGTCAAACAGTTTGTTGCGACAACGGCCAGCGCTTTCACCATCGGATTAACCGAAACTAGAGTTGGGGTGCTGCAATACTCAAGTAGCAACTCGTAAGTTTATTTACTATGTTTTTGTGCAAGAACAAATCCATTTTGAAGCCACCTTTACGCCAATCCTGTCTTTTCCTCAGACCAATGTAGTCAAAACAAAATATTACTAGTAACCGCAAATGTCCAAAAGACAGCAAGGACACTAAATAGATTTTCAGAGGAACAGATACAGTTATCCCGGCGCCGTACCTTTCTAATTCTGTCCAGGACCAAGTACTAGTAGTACTGGCAGTGTGGGATGGAAATGTAATAACAGGTTTTGTTTATTTCAAATCGATAATCCAGACTGGAGTGTAACCTGGGAGATCATGCTGATGAGTCATCTTTCGTCAGCGCCGTCAGCACCATGACAAAACTGTCCGGAGGCACAAATACTGGAGCTGCTCTGGAGTACGCCCGTCAAAACGCAGCCTGGAGGCCTGCACCTCTCCAAAGGTAGGTTCAACATTTTGCAAGTTTTGGATTAAAGAAACAAATGCATTAAATACAACCCTTGGGAAGTTGAAGAAGGTTGAAAGATGACCTTTAAAATTATCAGTACGTAAATGAAAGGGTATAAGCACAACGTAAAATGTTTTAGAGGCTGGGCGAAATAACGTTGCCATGAGCAAAGAAACTAGTACCCACATGAAAATGTTTCTCTTTTTCTTTGAATTAATATGTTCAGTGCACGGCCAAAAGACCCCTTAAAGGCACTGAACTAAGTTCGGGTTATTAGAATAACATCTCTTCTCCCTAAGCTTAAGTCAGAAACATTAATGCTTAGAGCTGGACTTACTGACAGTGTGCACTAACTGAAGGGGTTACGAGGGATGCTGAGGAACATTGCCTACTCCATTTATAGACTAGAAGTTTTACTTTTTCAGATTATGATAGTTCTGACCGACGGACAGTCAGGGGACAGTGTCGTCGCGGCCTCCCAAGCTCTGGCCGCGGATGGAGTGACCGTGTTCGCTATCGGTGTGGGTAACATTGACCAGTCAGAACTACTACAGATTGCCAACAACAACCCGGGCCGTGTGTTTGGGCTGGCCGACTTTAACGTCCTGGCTCGGAACATCAACCTGATCGTTAGCACCGTCTGCAACGGTTAGTACAGTGCCACGGAAAAATGCTTCAGTAGTAGGCCCATACCCGTTGTTTCCATTTTTTTGTCAATGCCAACTGTTACCAGTTCGAGTCTGGTTGCTACCGTTCACCGATGTTAGGTCGATTCTAGTTGGTTACACTGACAGCACAGGAGGTCACTTCAGTTCATGTATCACTGGTACGTTAAGAGAGGGAACTGATTTTGTTTAAATATTGATGAATTTTATTCAAGCTAGGTAAATGCATTAATGCATTTACCTAGACTAATGAATATGAAAGAGCTAGAATGGATAGGCATTTTAAACAGCTGTATTATATATACTTTTTTTATTTTAATCATTTTTGCGTATTCTACGGAGGAGAAAATCACTGAATGATCTGAATAAATCGATAACATTCTTTTTGTTTTCTCCAGAGCCGACAACCCAAGCGACGACAATCGGTAAGTGAAAACGCTACATTCTGGTCATGACCCAAAACACTGGCAGAGCAATGGGCCCGGGTGATTCTACAGTATGGCACGTGCATCAAACGTATAGTTCTAAACCAATACATCAGATGTATTTTTCTCTAAACTAATGTTTGTCAGACCGCCCGCATTTTCTCAAATTATTTTGTCCAAAACAAAACCTCAAAATACACAACTCTCTGCAGCAACGTAGGGACATCATAGGATAACCATTTTTGACCTTGAACTTTGTTTCTAAAACCACTGCACACCTGCCTAATATGATTAAGATCCATTTACAGATGATTTTTACTTAGGCTGCATACATACAATAGTCCTATGCCCAAAAGGTCCGCTACAAGTATTTGCGAAAAGCCAGGTGGACCGTTTTTGAACTTGAACTACATTTTGACAACAGCTACCCACGTGCACACACAATTTTTTTTAATCCGCCGACAAAAAATTGAGATATAATGTTGACCTACATATGGACCCAAACCACGGTCAAAGAGATAATACTCTTCTGAAGAAGACAATTGCAATATAAGTAATGTATTTATATTGTTCTGTCAGAGCCTACAGTGTTCCCAACAATTGAGCCGTGCAACATGACTCCAGACCTGTTTTTCGTTCTGGACGGATCTGGCAGTGTGAGCGATGCAGACTTCGATAAAGTCAAACAGTTTGTCAAGACAGTGTCCAGCGCTTTCACCATCGGATTAACCGAAACTAGAGTTGGAGTGCTGCAATACTCAGATAGCAACGCGTAAGTTTATTCTCTATGTTTTATTTGCAAGAACAAAGCCATTTTGAAGCAAACTTTACGCCAATCTTGTCTTTTCCTCAGACCAATGTAGCCAAAACAAAATATTACTAGTGACCACAAATGGCTAAAATACAGCAAGGACACTAAATAGATGCAACATTTTCAGAAGAACAGGCGCAGTTATCCCGGCACCATACTTTGCTAATTCTGTACTAGTGTACTCGCAGTGTGGGATGGAAATGTACTGACAGGTTCTGTTTTATTCCAAATCGATAATCCAGACTGGAGTGTAACCTGGGAGATCATGCTGATGAGTCATCTTTCGTCAGCGCTATCAGCACCATGACGTACCAACGTGGTGGCAGCACAAATACTGGAGCTGCTCTGGAGTTCGCTCGTCAAAACGCAGCCTGGAGGCCTGCACCTACTCCAAAGGTAGTTTCAACATTTTGCAAGTTTTGGGTTAAAGAAACAAATGCGTTAAATACAATCCTTGAGAAGTTGATGAGGGTTGAAAGATGACCTTTAAAATTATCAGTACGTAAATCAAAGGGTATAAGCACAACGTAAAATGTGTTAGAGGCTGAGCGAAATAACGTTGCCATCAGCAAAGAAACTAGTACCCACATGGAAATGTTTCTCTTCTTCTTTGAATTAATATGTTCAGTTCACGGCCAAACTGAGATCCTTTAAAGGCACTGAACTAAGTTCGGGTTACTAGCATAACATCTCTTCTCCTTAAGCTTAAGTCAGAAACATCAACGTTGTAACCAGGCTGGACTCACTGACAGTGTGGACTAACTTAAGGGGTTACGAGGGATGCTCAGGAACATTGCCTACTCCATTTATAGACTAGAAGTTTTACTTTTTCAGATTATGATAGTTCTGACCGACGGACAGTCACATGACAGTGTCGTCGCGGCCTCCCAAGCTCTGGCCGCGGATGGAGTGACCGTGTTCGCTATCGGTGTGGGTAACATCGACCAGTCAGAACTACTACAGATTGCCAACAACAACCCGAGCCATGTGTTTGGGCTGGCCGACTTTAACGTCCTGGCTCGGAACATCAACCTGTTCGTTAGCACCGTCTGCAACGGTTAGTACAGTGCCACGGAAAAATGCTTGAGTAGTTGGCTCATTCCCGTTGATACACTCCATTGAAAAGGGTGTGTCTTGTTTTCAGTCTGGATGATGTGTTGGTGTATATCTCTATAAGATCTGTAAGACGGGATATGATGATATTTGGCAAGTGGGGCATAGAGAATTGTGTTTGGGCCCCTGGTGATTGACCTTGGTACTGCAGTAATAATTTTTTTAATATCGTTGGCGCTGGAATGGTCTGATGCTAGGGTAGCATATATTTGTTGATGTAAGGGTTTAGTGGTGTAAATTTGGCCCCATAGCTGTTTGCTTTGGACCTGCACGGTTGTTTGATTTTCGAATGCTTTTGGCGCAATCATCTCAAGAATCGCTGGATGGTTTGCAATTATCTTTGGTACGTGGGTAGTTGATGTGTGGCTTTGCGTTTTAGCGTGCATTAGCAGGTTGTTGTAGATCTGGAGTGTGCTGTAGAAACAATCATTTACACCCCCTATTTATAAATTAATATATAATAGAGTGGTAGAATCTGTGTTGTTGTGACAGGTCACTAACCTCCAGATGAGTCTGTCTATAGGTCTGTGCAGCCTGCGGGTAATATACTTGTATTCTATCTCTTAAAGTAAAAGAGACCATGGGAATGGGCATTACAGACTAGACACCATGCTGCTTGGTTCATTAGCAGGGAATAGGGTCAGATTGCATGTGTTGATAAGTTCGCCAGAACACAGTGTTTTCCATACTCCGTTCTTACCTCAAAACAACAAAGTGCCACAACAAAATCCTTTAAGATAGACTAGACATCTACATCGTATCATTATGGTCAAAACTGCTAAATTTTCCTATTAGCGTACGTGACAAAAATACACCAAAAGATAACAAAGTCACAAATGATTTCATGGAGTGATGATGTGTACGACTTCTTCTTGTTTCCATTTTTTGTTAATGCCAACTGTTACTAGTTCGATTCTGGTTTCTACCATTTACCGATGTTTGTTAGGTCGATTCTAGTTGGTTACACTGACAGCACAGGAGGTCACTTCAGTTCATATATCAGCGGTGCGTTAAGAGAGGGAACTGATTTTGTTTAAAGATTGATGAATATTTATTCAAGCCCAAAACCTTTTTCAGCAATTATGATTCATTACTCGAGTCACGTGTCCCCAGGCCACGTGCTCAGAGTAATTCCATCACCACTCCTGTGTATCATTACTCCCTCTTGAAATGTCTCACTTATCTTGAAGCATTTATTCAATATTTTAGCTTTCAACTATACAAATCTTGTAACCTAAAATGCACTCAACGAGCAGAATGGCTACCCTTAATGAAAATCAGCAAATACCGTATACACAATATTTTGGATTCGTTTTTGTTTTGGTCCCCTTGTGATATAAACAACACTAATTTTCTCATGTCAATGACGTTTTTTTTTTTACTTTTATAGAAGTGACCACGTTGTTGACTACTGATTATGTCTTAACTTAAATCTTCCAGGGTAAACAAAGCGGGATCCGTTGGAAGGCAACATTCGTACTTGGTCTCCAACAACATCTGACAGCAAAATCAACTGAATTAAACTGCTTTAGATGCACATCAATCACTTAGAGATCTTCAGTGGAATAGACGTCATACATGAGATGGAGAAAAAAAAAAGGACAAAAAAGAATATACTTCACAATAGTAGATTTTACTCAGATTGCAGGTTCAGATGTGCTCTAGTAAAACCCAGAGTGGACCCATAAACATTGCTACCATGCAGTGAATACTTCAATGCATTAAATTCACAAATATCTGGCGGCAGTAGTGACTTAAACTATTAAAACTCATTAAGGCGACTACTCGCTAATTAACGTACTATATGATATCACTCTTTTATCTGAAAGCATAGCGATAAATATTCATTATATACATTAATCGTACACATGTGATTATAATAAGTGTCATCACCATTTAAAAGGCCAATTTAAAATGCTGTCGTTGCCTGTAGTAGGAATCGAAAGCTGAGTAACATGGGTGTCATACACCCAGCTAGTTTTGTGCACTGTAGTTAGATACAGAAGTGACAGACGCTTCAATTCACTATAAACACAGCTGGGGGCTTACAAAATAAGGTATGTACCTGCCAGTGAATACTATTAGTATTTTTAGTATTTAACATACTAGCGCTATCCATACTTTATAAAGCTTGGATTTGGTATGCCATATTGGTGACGAGTCATAATTATATAACTATGATACCATGGTAACTAATGTCGTAAATGTGTCTATATATTCATATGGGTACAGATAGAGAAATAGAGAAAGTGAGAGACAGACAGACAGAGACAAAGACAGAGAGACAGAGAGAGAGAGACGCCTAGGTAGATAGATAGATAGATACTATATATATATTAAATAGATAGCACGATGTCTGTATCCCTTGTTATATTTCAGTCCATACCATGGTATGGATGAAATATATTGTGTTCCATCATGTTTCTCCTTCTTCTTCTTCTTCTTCTCCTGCCACTCGCTCTGAGGGATTCAACTCCGCCATCATTCAGCCAAATGACTTGAAATTTAGCATGGAGGTAGAGTGGGCCAATACCCTTAGGCGTTTTTTTTTCATTTTTTTGATACATGCCTTTGAAAAATTTTTATGAAGGTTTTTTGGGGCATTTTTCGCCAAAAAATGGATTTTTGGATCCTGAGCCCTGGTTTTACAACCAAATGATCTGAAATTCGGTATAAGGGTACCTTGAACATGTGTCTACAGAATAGCAGTCACATATTTTGCATACACCACTTCCAAATGACTCATTTGGGGGACTTAAATGGCTATTTTCAGCAAAAAAAAGGGGCCAAAAGTGCTGTACCCGTTCCATGTTCTATCTAAAGAGTGGCTGGTTCCATCCATGGAACACGTGTTCCATTGCGGGTTATCTGAGGTCACATTGCACCTAAGTGGTGAGTAATGACCCACACATTCAATTTTATGTGCCTAAGACCTTCAAAATGTATCAAATCTCATGATTGTTAGTTTTTGCATACCTGTAATAAGATTAGTAAAGCTTTCGAGATTCAAAGTACTTGTTGTTGCATCTTTGTTCTCATACATGTATACTTGTAGCTACTATTTAATTCATCTATTTGAGAACCTTTGCCAGTTTTGCACTGGGGTAAGTTTGGAATAGTCCACTTTTGCGTGGGAGGGAGATGGACTGAAATATGCTGTATTTGCTCCCAAGCAAATGTCGGCCTTTCTAGTTGTCTTTTACTTTGCTATAGTGTCCTGATGAAAGGTGTAGCTTAAAATTACATATCAATCACTGGTGTTATAATACCTATTTGCAATCATTCTTCTGTATTTTAACTCATAACGTGTACATAAGGATATACGTATTGGTGTCGTTGAACTCTATTGCTACTTTGGAATAAAATGCAGGTCTCCACAAAAAATATAAGTGTCTGACTCTCTTGAGTTGCATACCTGGTAGACTACTAGACGACCACCTGTCGTAACACACAGCTCTCTACTTGTTGAGTTTATATATGGTACCTATTGGGTGTAGGTCAGTCTTAGGTCCTAAACTGCCAAAGCACGTGTTATTACTGCTGCAAAAAGCTATTTGTGTGGCGAAAACCTAAGGCTGGAAAACCAGCGAAAAGCCCGTAGTACCATGTATATGTGATTCAGGTGAATACATGTGCAGAAATGACCGTTTCACTTGTTTTTCATCAATTAAACTAGAGGTCGGAGATCTCATGCCATCGTCAGAGGTTCATTGTTTTAGTGATGTGATGGACGTTTGCATTATTCAATTATATGTATATGGCATGGTTGATTACATTCCGAAAGGTTTAATAACGGGGGACTGCTCTCGGAAGGTTTTTATCAATCAACTTTCTTCGCACAACTTAAAAGGACAAAGGACGACATCGCAGTCAAGGCTATTCTTAGTATCAAAAGCGTCACGTGGCCTCATCCAACAACTTTTGGACGATTGAGGATCATCCTCTTAATACTCATCTCAATAATGGATTACTTTTATTTGCGCGACGAGACAGTATGTAGGGGTCGGCTGCAAGAACTACTGCAGGACAAATCTTATGACGCCACAGCAAAAAATGCTCGCTGTTATGCGGAACAAGGTTACGCCCTTTCACTTGTAAGAGACGACAGCAAAGACATGGCTTCAAAGATAAGGCAAGCAATCAGTACATTGTATGTACAGTGTCAAAGGCAGCAAACGTAAAGTACATGTACAATGTACTAGAGAATATACTACTACATGTATTGTCTGATTAATTGACTAGAAACTTTTACACTATTATGGGATTTGACTCTGAAACCGTAGATAATGATTTGTCCCACGTCCTGCATAATGAGTGGGTTTTGTGATCTTAGTAGACTGCCATTCCCTAAGTCCACAGGGCTGTTCCCGGATATGTCTGCATAATTTGCATGGGGACACGGCTCGATGACGTCTAGTCTGGACACCTGTAAACATGGCTGCCGGGGGACTTCTTGCTACAATCCCCACACCTGGCTTCTTTCACCTTGACTTGTTCATCAAGGACACGAAGGATGTCCCTCAGCGTCATGACGAGCTCAAGGCAAAACTGGACTTGGAAAAAGGGCCGATGGAGAGTGCCATGACAAGCCTACTGAGTGTTTTTGCATTCCACAAAGTACGCGGTCAATGCGACGCCCTAGCCCTCTTGGAGGACCTCACCAAAAAGGACGGGAACAATCTCAACGCCATCGCCAATAAGCAGTTTATATACGGCCAACTGTTGAGAACGACAGACGAGACAGCATGTAGGGATCGGCTGCAAGAACTACTGCAGGATAAATCTTATGACGCCACAGCAAGAAATGCTCGCTGTTATGCAGAACAAGGTTTCGCCCTTTCACTTGTAAGAGACGACAGCAAAGACATGGCTTCAAAGATAAGGTTTTTTCGAATATCTGCATATTTTTGGAGTCAGGTGGACGACTGGTTCTTCAACATCACTGGTACTCATTTACAAATTAACGCAATCAATATAATTTTTGGTAACCTGACTGATCGATGCCCGGTTCTCTCCAATGTTATAGTACTCCTGGGTAAAATGTTTATTTTTAAAAATCGTAAGTATTCCTTAAGTTTATCTGCATTTATATCTTATGTTTGTTACTTTTATAGACTAGAATTAAATATTGCGTATAGGCAACACAAACTATTAAAACATAGGGGGAAATGGGGAAAATTAAATACAATTTTTTCAGAATAGATAAATAAGTTGTTAAACAAATGTTTAAAGAGTTAAAAAATCCCATTTGTATTTTTAAACCATGTAATTAGGGGCAACAGGGTTTATCTGTAAAATTTGCACAACACTATTGTACCTGGATTTTACGTTTTGTTTTTGTGGTTCACCATGTATTCCTTTTTGCACAATGCCATGCTATATTTTGTTACTGTTAATTTATTTTGGAAAACCCAATAAAGAAAGATTTAAAAAAAAAAAAAGAAATGCTCGCTGTTATGCAGAACAAGGTTTCGCCCTTTCACTTGTAAGAGACGACAGCAAAGACATGGCTTCAAAGATAAGGCAAGCAATCAGTCTCTTCAATACAGCCCTGAGTTTGGTGTGTGACGTAGGCACTGATGTGGTGATCATGAGCGAGGAAGAGCGTCTTGTTTGGAAATACTACCTGGGTCAAACTTACTGGCGACTCAATGACATTCGGGTACACGCACAAACCAAAGCGACATTGACCCCTGACGAGAGGAAGGAAGGGCTGCTTGAAGCACAGAGACTTTTCATAGACGTAACCAAACTGGATCAAAGTTCGAAACATGGTGGGTTTTACATCGCACGAGCATGGGGTCTTCTGGGGGCTCTCGAGTATAGGTGCAGAGAAAAATACGAAAGGTACACAACCCCTGACTATCTTATCAGTCAGATCCCTCAGACTGAAGGTCCTGGGCTAGAGTGGGGTTGCTACAAAAAAAGCACTGGAAATCAACCCAACTGATTATGAGACTTACAGACGGTTTGGGCAAAGCTACAGCCGCCAGCACTTGAACGAGAACGCTCGACAGATGTTCGACAAATCGATAGACATAATGCCCGAGAAGACAACCAATTGGTTTGCATATTTCAATAGGTCCTTGGTCAACTTGAACGAGTACGATCTACAGGCACGTCGGTGGCGCAGGCGGGTAGGGTTAGATAACCTTACCCGCCTATCGCCTCCCGATAAACAGTTACTGAAGCGAGCCAAGCAAGATGCCATCGCATCCTGTGAAGGGGCAACAACACCATTCAGCACTTACTTCCTGGGGAAAATCTGTCACAGACTTGCAATTCATCCTGTAGCAAATGAAGTGGAGGACAAGGATGAATTAGAGAATGCACTGGGCCACTTTGACCAAGCGCTGCAGTTAGAGGATGGATATACTGACTGCAAGATACATTCAGCCAAAGCCTGGAGCCTTGAAGTTGCAGGAGAGCACGAAAAGGCGGCAGAGTCTTATAAGCGTGCGGTTGAGAACGACGAACCTACCTTCCACCGTAATATTCAAGGCCTACTAACTAGTCTACTGACACTCCATGGTTCAACACACCGTCACAGAGAGTATTACACTGCCGAACTTGCCTTCTGGATCAACGAAGGCTACAGAAAGTACGAAGACACCAAACAGTTTATTCGCTATTGCGTCGCCAGGTTTGGAAATCAGATGATAGAGGTATGTCGATATCTTATTGACAATGGCAATGTCCGGGTGGCCAGAATGTGCCTCGAATGTGCCTCGAATGATGTCAGACATTCCTGAAGATGAGGAAAATGGAGCATCTAAAACTCTAGACAAGTCTTCAGCAAGGCAGCCTGTGCAAGAAAATCGCGTAAACATCCCAGTAAGACAGGGAAAATCGCGCAACATTCAAGGGTTCCAGTACGACTTCTTTGTGCTTCACGGTAGAACAGACGCCAGCTGGGTGAACCATGTACTTGTACCAGCGTTGGAGGTGGACTGGAGTTTTAAAGGTGTGTAGTGTTCTTAGCTGCCTGATAAGCGTTTTGTTTTCCTTGGATTTCAGCAAATCTATGTATCTGTATATTGAATAAACGGGCAATATTTTCAGATCAATAGTAGTACTTTATGTAGCTAGCTAAAACATGGCTTCAATCAAATGTTTACACAAAGCGCTATATGTATATGATGAATGACTGGTCCAGTCTGGTCGTCAAATATATGTGGGGGAAATGCTTGAATAGTCCGCCTCAGAGTGAGACACACTCACTGAAAACAGCCATTGTTAGCTGATTGCCTTCGGCAAACCTCTGGTCGGAATGTGTCGTAAATACTACG